TTCATGACCATGATAATTTTTTCACATAAAAAGATAAGTAGTACTCATAGAGCGATGTAGAGAAAATCATTTTGTTTGAAAGAATAAATTGTTCAAGCATTTTTAGGCAGTCATTCAATTTTAAGTAGCTACAGACAACTCGTATCTGTTCAGTTACAGACAGTCTTTATCTGTTCATGGCAAGTAGCCACATACTTTTCACCAGTATCCTTTTCTGTAGCTCTCCGGTGAAGAGTTGACATTAAAGTTCCAGGGTGGAGTTGGAGTAGTTTTGCTTTCCTCCAGGGGACACAAGTGCAGAGAATGGATCAAACACAAACACAAACAGGGAATGGATAAAGTGACACTCTTTAATGCCACCTCCTGGAGCCTATCTGAAACTCAAGAGTGAAGAAAGTGAAAGATTCTTAGGCAAAAGAGGGCACTAAGGATAACCATCTCCTATTTTCATTCCAGACAGGGTTTGGCCTGGCAATTCAAGCTGATTGCCTGAAGGAGAGGGTAGGTGGAGATGTTAGATTGCCTTTGAATTCTTTGTTTTCTAACCAGAGGGGAGATAGCTCTTCCAACAGAAAGTCCCAGCAAGTGCAGCAGCAGTGTCTTGGTGTGCCTCTGCTTGCCTTGGCTGCCTCAGAAGGAGCCCTGAACCTCCCTCATGTGGCGTGTCTATGAAACCAACCAGATGCAGTCTTGTTATTTGTCAGAAGTCACCAGGCAAGCAGTGACAGGATTCCCCCAAAGAATTACCCCAGGGATTCCTTCCCAGTTTTCAATCAGATATCAGAGAATTATACCAGAGAAATACATATTACCTGTGCAAGAAGCAGAGTAAGTAATTCGTATCCCTAGATTTATAATACTGATTAGTGCTTCTGTTGTTAATATTATTTCCCTTCCTGTAAGATGTATTGTTTCAATGGTTATGGTGAATTTAAGAAGTAGATATTATAGTTGTGATGAAAACCCTCATTTTGCAGAAGAGAAAACAGAGCATTGCATATGCAGAATGAATCTACCAAAGTCCACAGCTATTAAGTTCAAAGTACAGGATTTGAACCTGTTTCAAAAAAAATTGACAAAGTCTCAGGGCCTTGTCCTGGGTCCATTCTTTCCATTCAGTCACATATTTTCTAACTCATTTATTCATTCCTTTAGCAAGGATGAATAGAGCATCTGCTGTGTTACAAGCACTAATCTAGGTACTTAGGTTATGTCACAGAACAAGAAAGACAGAAATATTTGCCTCTGCAGTCAGTTACAGAATAAAATATGTTTAATATCTCCCCTTCGATTGTCACCCAAACCACCAGTGCAAAATTTTCCACTTAGAGTGTTATTGTGTAGGGGAGGTGGGCATGAACAACAGACAATAATCACAATACATACTAGATAAAAGGTACCAAGTGATCTGGAAGAAAGAGAGAAGGGTAAAGGGGATCAGAAGTGTTAGGGAGAAGGACAATTACAGTGTTAGGTAGGATGACTATGGTAGTCCTCATTGAAAAGGTAAATTTGAATTTGAAGAAGGACAGAGAGGCATTTAGAAAAGAGCTTTCCAGGCAGAGGACAAAGCAAGAAAAGAGATTCTAACGCGCTGGGCATGGCTAGAGCATGTGAATGAGGGGAGAGGAGTGGAAGCTGATAATGAGGCCAAATCATGGGGGGGCCATACAGGTCATTGTGATGACTTAGGCTTTTACTCTGTAAGAACTGTAAAGTCATTGCTGAGTTTTGAGCACAGAAGTGGCATAATCAAATTATATATTTTCAAGGATTCCATTGGCTGCTGGGTTGATATTAGTTTGAAGAGGGCCAGGGTAGAAGCAAGAAATTCAAAGAAGGCATACAGCAGAGACAGTAAAATGTGTGCATGAAAGCCTTCCATTTTGTCCTGGGTATACATGAAGACACTCCACATTCTTTTTGCAGTGAGGTGCGCATGATATGACTCAGTTTTGCTTAGAAGTGGTATCACCATGTCCAGGCCTGGCCCTAAAATCTGACATGTGTTCTAAAGTCTGCTCCTTCTCCAGCAAACATTGAAACCTTGTGTTGAGGATGAAAGCATTGTAGGGTGGAAGGAGCCGAGGTCCTCAATGACAACAGCATGGAGCACAACCACCCCTTCCCATGCCAACCACACTGGACTGTGACTTGAGTCATTTTGAAAACTATAAAAAAGAGCCAAGAAGGACATTTTGAAAAAATTCCCTGTCCCTCTCTATTTCTTTCAACCTTGTTGACAGTGATTTTTGAGATTCACTTCCTGTTTTCATTTTTCAAAGCAAGAAGAGCAGGGCACAGGTCAAATGCACCTCTTCTCCACATCTCCCCAAAGCTGCTTAAAATCATGCCCCTGTGCTATCACATTTTCCAACATCACAACAGGCCTCGGGGACCTCAGACACTGATGATGGAGAATCTCTAAGTCACTGTGTGCCTAATGTGGAAAACAAGACAATGCTATAACACCAACAATTATTAAAATTAAAACAAATTTGTTTTCCCTTTCTTTCTAAAAATATGTCAAATTATTGGCAAGGTTTCCTTGAACATTTCAGCATGTTTACTATTTGTTAGAATTCTTTTCTAAGCAGATTGTTATTCACGACATCAGTTCTTGAAAATTATTTAAACTCCCCATGCCACCAAATATATATAGAGAAAGATACAGAGATATAGATATCCTCTTATCTTCCTTCAATTTGTCATTTTATCAGATACCTGTTTTTAGAAAATTTCAAAGGTAGAAACCCAATTAGTCTTAATGATAGACAGAAAGTAAATTTTTCCTAAATAATTTAGCATAATTCTCCCTAGACAACCTCTTAGGCATAGAAAAGGGGAAATAGGGATTTATATGCTTACTGTATGTGGTGGGACTACACTGGGAACGTTATTTAGAATATCTCATTAATATCTTCGGCATTACTCTTAGCTAGCTCACTGTTAAGGTAGAAGAAGCCAGTGCTAGCACTGTCTTTTCTGACAAATGGTAAGCAGACTCAAAGAGGTAACATAGCTGTTACCATCCCACACTGCCAGGAAGAGCATATCTGGATGTGTGGGACACGTCACAGCAGATGCTATTACTTTCTTTTCCTGAAACAGTCAGAGGTAGAGAAACATTGAAAAACTGATCCAGTTTTGCAACAACAATGATTGGGAAATGCACAGTAGCACAGGAGTTTAAGAAACCACCATTGGATTTGGCCAGAACTGGGTATGGATCTTGGTTTTGTCACTTTCTAGATGTGGTCCTTGACAATGTTACTCAATCTCTCTCTGTATCCTTAAACATCAGTAATGGCTATAAAATATTTAGCACAGTACTCTGGCTTACTATGAGTATTCAAATTGTAGCCACTGTGGGTTTATTTGGTATCACTAAAAGGTCTCCTGATTTTGAAAAGAGGATCCCCAGAGCATTGTGTGGCCCACTTACAGATTTGTAAAATGTCCCATTTACCTACATCCCCAATATCTTCTGAACACTCTCAATAGGCAGTGATCATGATTCCTTCTTGAAGGTCATACCTAGCTAAGTCAGGAGGATTCTTCAGGAGTTTAGGAGAGAATGCGAGAGTTGACTCCTGAAAGTGGAAAGGAAACCACCCGGGCTATCTCCTGTCTGTGCTGCTCTCCTTTCTGATAAGGAGGGCTCTGTGAATGGGAGGGAGCAGCATCCTTGTCCATACTGTGGGCAAGGAGGGCTGGATGGTAGGACAGTCACGTGAGAACCATGGAGCAAAGGTGGAAGGCTATAGGGCAGCAGGGAATCTAATTAGCACCAGTCAATTATCTGTTCTATGCAACTTGTTGAGTTTGCTGTAAGAGGCAATGCAAAAACAACAACAAAAAATTTGTTTTTCCTCTTCATCTCTGTAAGCTCCTATGGTGTAACTGTCAGAAAGCACTTGCCCCAAAGATTTTATTTATTGTCAAGTTTTGCAGAGAATGGAGTAATTCCCATGGGATCTACTAGGTAAGTTAGTGGAATTAGAAGACTAATAAATCATAGGCATATACTTTGTGCAATGTGCTAATGTGTATTGTACATTATTTCATTAGCTCTTTACAAAACGTTGCCATCTTAGTCTGTTTTCTGTTGCTGTAACAGAATACCTAAGACTGGGTAAGTTTTAAAGAAAATAAGTTTATTTCTTCCAGTGTTGGAGGATAGAAAATGGAAGAGCATTGTGCCAGCATCTTTTGAGGGCCTTCTTGCTGTGTTACACATGATGATAGATGAGAGCTCAACAAGAAAGGAAGTATGAAAGGCAAGGCTAGCTTTATAAAACCCACTCTGAGGATAACTAGCCTACTCCTAACATAAAGGCATTAATCCATTCATGAAGATGGAGCCCCTGTGACCTAATCACTTCTTTAAGGCCTCACCTCTTAATACGGATACAATGGCACATTTCAACATGAGCTTCAGAGGGGACAAACAATCAAACCACAGCAGTAGCTATCCCATTTTTAGAGATAACAAAAATGCATTTAGCAAAGTTACACAGAGAGAAAGTGTCAGAGTCAGAAATTTACCCAGGATTGCCTACTCTAGCCTCTTAAGCACTTATATATCTCTATTATATCTCCACATTTAAAACAAAAGCCATGGCATATGAACCTACCCTGTTGAGGGAACTCTAGGGTGCTTGCTGTTTGAGCCCCTGAGAGAAGCCTCACATCCAGTGGAGCCAGTGTCTGGCCTCAGACTGCAAAAGGAGAAAGTGCACATCTGTTAGTCTTTAGCATGCATCATTGAAATTCTTGCAAAGAGTCTGGATGAAGCTGGTGTTCTTCCCTGTGCGTGACCTTAGGCCAGCCAGCAGCCAACAAGAGAGAAACACACCAAGGTTCCTGGGAAGGCTCAGAACAACTCTCTCCCAGAATTGCTTTTCCTGCCCAACCTAGTGTAAAAGGAATGAGCTGAGTGGTGCATCCAGGGAGATGGCCTCCGTGGATACCTTCTTTGTGTCTCTTATTATCTTTAGGTTGTTACTGATGCCCTGCACAGACATAGGTCTGTAAAGTGGCAAGCAGGACTCTGCTACAACAGAGGAAAGGATTTTGCTATATCTCTTGTCAGGCCCAATGCTGCAGAGGGGATTGGTAATGTACTTCATTTAATAATAGTGTTTTAAGAGATAACATTATTTCATCCTGTGGGGTAGATATGAGCATCTTCATCTCACAGATGAAAAGAGACAAACCTGGGATTCAGAGGTACTTGCCTATGAGTTTCTTACAGATTTCATCTTACAATCCAGGAATCCTGATTCTTGGGTCAGTCTCCTTTGCAATATGGGATCTTAGGCATGGCAATAAAAGAGATCTAAAAACTGGTTATTTGATGCTTGGACAAAGGCTTGGGGCATGGGCTTTGACCTAATGAAGTAGTCAATTCTAGTCTAATATTTTAAAGGATTTAAAGTGATTCCAGTTTATAAGCCCCATTCACTGTCTTCTAAGATGTGGATACACATTCCAACCTTCCTTAGCTCAAATGTGGACAAAACAAGAGATTACGTGTGTTGATACTTTACGAGACATAGAAGATTCACATATATACATAGGCAGAGTGGTTCTGTAATTAACCAAATCTTCAGAGGTCCAAAATTAACAGTATTGACCATTCATAATTTAGCCATAAACTCAGACATTTTAAAAGCCTTGTAAAAATAGATGTATACTTTTCAAATGTTACGGACTCCAAACACCAGTGTTCTATTGCCTAGAACAAGCGTAGCTTGTGAATCATCACAGGCCTTGCACAAAGGAAGTCTAATGAATATTTGTAGATTGAATTTAATGAATGAAGGCACAAACCCCCTGGCTCTCTTGCTGGGTTTCATGAAATCTTATTAAACACATTTTATTTAGCGAGCTTGCATATTTGCTTTTGTCTCCCAGCAGATTGAATATAAGTGACTTGGAAAAGGAAGACGAGTTGCCGGAAACAGCTAAAATGTCAACAGAAGACTTGACAGCTTGAGAATAGAGGAAAAAATGAAGCAAAGCAGACAAAAAGAACCTTACCTCCCCCACAATATAACATTGGGTTGCTGAGCCAACAAAAATCTAAAATCAGTTTAGGATCCTCTGTTTAACTCATCAGAGAAATGCACAAACTATTATAGAGAGGCTTGCACCTACAAAGATTACTTAAGAATGCGTTGACACATTTGGAGGGGTTAACTTACCAGTTATCATATACTAGAAGGCTTTTTCTATAAAAATGTATGGAAGAGGTTCCTCTGAGCATTCAACTGGGCTTTTTTGTAGGGTATGTGTACTACTTGGAGCTGTGGAAGACTATGTCCTAGAAGCCCTGTGTCCCTGAGGCACACCTATGTGTGCTGTCTCTCTGGCATATTTTTCAACAAGTGTTCTTTTCTAGTCTATATATTCTGATTAATTTGTAGTCAGAGGCAATGGAAAAAGCATTCTTTTAAAATCCTAATCTCCATAAGCTCCATTATGGTACAGCTGTCAGAAAGCAATTGCCCTGAAGATTTTCTTTATCATCAACTCTTAGAGTAAATTGTATAGACGTGCCACTGTCTATTCTGGTTTCAAGATTTGGTCTTATATCCTTTTTTTCCTTTTGTGGTAAACAAAATACAAAAAGAAATCAGCAAATAAAAAATGAAAACAAAGGAACATTTATATCTATGTGTATACACACACACACACACACACACACACACACACACACACTCATAGAGAGAGAGATGTTTGCATGTATAGTTAGTGATATGGTTTGGCTCTTTGTTCGCTTCCTAATCTCACCTTGAATTGCACTCTTGTAATTCCTATGTGTTCTGGGAGGGCCAGTGGGAGATAATTTGAATTATGGGGTCAGTTTCCCCCCTACTGTTCTTGTAGTAGCATATAAGTCTCATGAGATCTGATGGTTTTATCAGGGGTTTCCGCTTTTACATCCTCTTCATTTTCTCTTGCCACCACCATGTAAGAAGTGCCTTTCTCTTCCTGCCATGCTTCTAAGGTCTCCCTAGTCATGTGGAACTGTAAGTTAAATTACATCTCTTTTTCTTCCCAGTCTCAGGTATGATTTTATCAGCAGCATGAAAATGGATGAGTACAGTTAGATAGATAATAGATATAGAAGTAGATATACAGATATAGATTTGGTATAATGGTTGTTAGGAATGAATTTTGAGCAAATTGTAGGATGCAAAAGACAGAAGCCTTCTTTCTATGCTGAGTTTATCCATATTCCTATGACATTGATAATTCACATTGTGTCAATTTATTAATGCAATTCACATGTATTAATTAGTGACTGTCCATATGCAAAGCCCTGAGATTGGCTGAGATGTAAATTCAATGTGTGGCTCTAGTGTGAATGAATGAATAGATGAATTATATTGATGTGGGTCATGGGGGTGGGGCATAGATTTATTGTGCTAAGCCTTGAAGACTTCTTAGATAGTTAATCACCAGACATAATGTATAATGTCAACAATAGACATAATGATGGATTAAAAATGTCAACGGTAGAAATGATGACAATACAGATAAGAGTTACCTTTTATTGGACATCTGGTCTTTGTCTGAAATAACTCTTAATACTGTATCTATACTCCCACAATAAATCCTCATAAGAGCACACTGAGACAGAAGTCCTTAGCTGCTCATTATTGAACAGGAAACTGAGAATCAAGGAGGTTAACTCAAAACTCCAATTCACTCAGCTAGTAAGTGACAGAACAGAGATTTCACCCTAGGTCTCTTTGTCTTTAAAATCCATCCCCTTCTACCCTTTCTCCTTTTTTCACCCTCCCCTGCCTTTTCTTCTCCCCTCTTCTTTTTCTCCTTCTCCTTTTCCTTCTCCTTCTTCTACTCCTTAAGGCTAGCTAACCTCATAGATGTCTTCTTTGATGCATGATTCATGATATCCTTTTCAAGAGTAAAATGATTCAAAATATAAGCATAAACGTTTTTGATATCTACTTTTGGCAAAGCATCATGGCATAAAAACTTGCAATTTACACAAGAATGGAGCAATGGAGTACATGTTTGCTAAGTGCTTTCGATGAATTAGGTACTATCCCCTTTTTAATCTTCTCAATAACAGTGTTTATTTTATTCTCATTTTACAAGTGAAGGAATTGCAGTCAAGAAAGTATAACAAAGAAACTGGTGTAGAATCATATGTATCCTGTAGAAACTCTGACTTGCCTAAATAGTAACCAATTCAGGCAATGTCTTTAGCTGGGACAAGACACACAGAAAGGAGTGATGCTCTGAACATCTAGGACAAAAGGACTTGAAGAGCCCCTGTGCTCAAGCAGACACACAGCCTCAAATGGAATGTTTTGGAGACATTCTTATATGGTATATGGGAGTTATAAATTCCAGAGGGCCATTTGATGATAGTTATCAAATACATAAAAGAGATTATCTGCTGACCAAACAGTTACATTCCTATAAATGATAGGATAAATGTTAAAAAATGTATGTATACAGTGATCCTCTTTGTGTATGCTTTTAAAAGAAATAGTAAACAAATACGGTATAAAGTAAAAGTAAAACTCAAATAATATAGACACTTCATAAAATAATGGCATTGTCATACAATGGAATACAATGCAGCTGTTAAAATGATGATTTACATCCATTCTGATTGACATGAAAACATGTTTAATGTATAGCCCAGGTAAGAAGCATTTCATTGGTGACAACACAAACAAAAAGACAAAACCGAAAAAAAAAAAAAAAAGAAGCAACATTTCAAAACTAGATATTAGGACTGGGCATGGTGGTTTACGCCTATAATCCCAGCACTTTAGGAGAGCAAGTTGGGGGAACACATGAGCCCAGGAGACCAGCCTGAGCAACATAATGAGATCCTCTCTCTTAACAAGATTTATATATTAGATGCTGAATAAATCCATATTTCTAGAATTAACACACACACACATATATACCCGAAAAAATGTGTATGAACCCACAATTTTATTTTTGATTGGCTTTTGATTGTGGGAATAAGAATAATCTGTACTTCTTTCTTAAAATTTTCCCCAATTTTTTGTTTTCCAATAATATAAACTAATATTTATTGAATGCTTAGAGTGTGAAACATAACTTTACATGTTTTTCATTTTCATAATAATCTGTATTTTAATCTTATGTAACCTGAAGCACAGAGAGGCTGTCTGCCCAAGAGAGTGGCAGAGCTGAAATTTAAGTAGGCTTTCTGCTTCTGCAAACTCATGCTTCTGTCTACTATATTATACTATAATTGCTACTTAACAATTTTGACATTAAGAAGTACAAATGAACAACACTAATAAAAATAACTTAAAATTTTCGCTTTCCAGAAAATGCAAAATTATCTCTTAATTCTACACAACATAATAAATGAAATTTCAACAATTTCATCATTTAAAGGCCTAGCCATTCTTCATTTTCAGGTATCTTCATTTCTTTATTTCTGACAATATGTCTTTCAAAAGATACTTAAACTAGATATTGTCTAATGTTTCTTCAACTCCTGGGAAAGATTGCCTCACAAAATTATTTATCATCCAAGATATCATGGGATGTTTTAAGAGGTAGAGTATGTGGTTTTAGTGGTGGTATGGTTGTTTATTTTTGTAGAGGAATTTATGGATTGCCAAGTGTCAAACTCAATAAGCTTAATTGCAGTTTAACTTCCAAGCCATGGCCTTCAAATGCATTAGGCACTTTATAACACATAGTAATGTTCCCCTGAGACCTCACCACCTTGTGGGCTGCCCTATCATGGTACTTATCATGGTTCCTAAAGCAGCTTGGCTTTTTCTCTACATGTCTCATTAGACTGAAAGCCAGATCTGTCTTGCTAACTACTGGCATCCTCAGAACTTAAACATTCAGGTTCTTCTTACGTCTGTTAGTTCATAGGGTCAGGAAGCCCTCAAAATTCTAGTATTGAATGCAGGGTATCTCTTCTCTCCTATCCCACTTAAAGCTATTTTTTAAAAAATGTGTAGAGTTTCTGCATTCTGTAAATAAAGATGAAATCTATCTCTTGGAGGAGGCTTTTAGATGTGCCTCTGTTACCTTAGAGATATAGGTAAGTCATCTATCACTTATTGTTCTAAGGAAAGTTTAGAACCAAAGTAATAACATAGAGGGTTTGTCCTCAGTCTAGAATGTAAGGTTCTTAAACAAAGGATATTCATTTTAAACAGAAGACATATCTCAGGGTTGATGATGATGCTGATTTTAATTTTTTCAATCTTCTGGTGGGGTTAAGAGACAGCAAGAGTTAAGGCAACTTGAGAAAAGTAACTTTTCTCCTGTGACACCTCGAATGCTCAGGAGAAAAATGACCATGGAGGTGTCCTACAAAGAGAAATGCTGTGTACTTAAGGAGGAGATATATTGTATCCAGCTCTGGGTTTTTATTTATGCATTTTCATTCTTTTGTATCATGCTCAAGCCTTGGTAAAGTTTGATAAAGTTGAGTGTTTTGTCTCAGTTGATGGAAAAAAAGTTGAGGGCATTGACCTGGAGTGAGAGATGAAGAGCCCAACTAAGACAGGTTTGTGGAACATATAATCACTTCCTAGGGATTCTCAGAAGTATGTGAGAAACAGGCAAGGCTTCCTGCATACTCAGTATTGGGACCTGGATCACATTATTTGGAGGCAAAAGGGAAAGCTGCCCCAAGAAGGATAGAGAACCTGGGTCACTTGGCTTACATTTGGCTTAGGAAATTTAAGTTTTCTATAGGATAAAGAGAACAGGGAAGATATCTGTCAAACATTTAATACTCACAATTAACTGAATTAGTTATTTATTTCCAAATCACTGTAGCTTTACAACCATAATTTGATTTCATATTCCCAAAGACACATTATTTGGTAAATATTTTATAGAGTTAAAATATCTTTGAAAAAACATAGGTTTTCTAAATCCTGATATTGTATCAATTTCATCAAAGCACAATGAAGTTCCAGCTTGGAAAAATAAAAACCATGATCAGAAAACTGTCCTCATGAACCAAGCTCAGTCCTTGCATCTCCAGCATAACTGAACAATCACCATGCATTTCTAAGAAAAAATTGCAAAAAGACATCCCAAGAAGACATTTCAACACATCACCAACTTGGAAACGATGGCTGGAAATGTCAGCTAGGAGAAACTTTTAGACACATGGGATGGGATGGACCAGCCATAGGCCCATGTCTCTTAGATTGAGAGTGGTGAACCTAAGAATTAGAGAAGCAGGGATAAAAGAACAAGCCCACTAGTCTTCTCCACGATTATATATGATTACT